CATATTTGTTTATGGTCGAGGGTTAGCGCGAACGCAGACCCCCACACTAAAAAATAGCGTACCCGAGTAATCCGCATTTGGGATTATCGCAGGGTTCAGCCCGACCGGAGTGCAATGGAAGGGCCTCGACCTGGGGGAACCTTTTTTTTTTTTTTGATAAAAGTTTATTTACAAATGTACAGATAAAACCGCCAAGAGACACACCCCTATGGCAACTGTATTATATGGACATACGGTATCCCCGGTAAGGTGCAATTATCCCTACAACCTGGATGGACATCGAAATTACTTGTTAACTAAGTATAGCAAGGTAAGTATAAGAATAATACTGACATTTCTAGGAAAACGTCAATTCGAAAATTGATCTAACGAATTTACATAGCAAAATAATGGAAAATGATTAAGATACAAATTACAGGGCGACAACAGGAGATATCAGCCCAAACTAAGATTTAATTTCAGTTCGTCCTCTTGGGTTGTACAAAAAATACCAGTAGTACTCCAGTATTCAGAGAAGATGTTGGCGGGGAGACGGGTATAATCAGACTGAATGCGTAGAATGACGTTACTGAGGAAGTGGCAGAGAAGAGAATCAGAAGTTGGTGACTTTCTGTCATATTTTTTAACACAACGAATATACCAGATAGATGATAAAGATTCTGCCACTAGAAATAAAACAAGAGACTTTAATTTTAGAGTAAGACTTACTGGGGAATGGAATCGCCAAAGAGCCGAATCAGTAGAGACTTTGTTCTCTGAGACCTGGTTTATCCAGGAATTAACCAAGGATACTAATGGTTGAACAAATGGACATTCATAAAATAGATGTGAAATAGTCTCAAAACCATCACAAAATGTACAATGTTTAGAGGACCCGACACCAAATTTGTACATTCGAAAGTTAACAGGTAAAATCTCGTGTACCATTTTAAATACAACATCTCTTGAGCGAGTATCTAAAAACTTGTTAGAAATATTGCGAAAAACAGGATCGAAATCTACAGTTGGGAAAATCTTGACAATGCGGGGTGACTTAATAACAACAGATAACAGAGTTACATAGAATTCCTTAGTTGTGACTGACTCAAAAGTGGACTTCGGAAAATCCTTTCTATATTGTTTAAATACTTTATAAATACTCGAATAAAAGGTAGGGCACCAGCCACTATGTGGAAAATTATTATCAAAACTGTTGAAATACTCTCGAAAGTGTAGGGAGAGCCAATACATGGTAAAGTATCTCCATTTGGCCTCTGTATTTTTAAAAACAAAATCCTGACAATGCTTCAAGTAAATAGCTTGGAGTTTAGCTTTAATGTTTACAATAGCAAGTCCACCACTAGAAGCAGAGGCATAGGCTGTTGAGCGCGCAAGTGGCTCTGACTTAGAATCCCATAAAAATCTAAATAAAGTTCTCTGAAATAGTTCCAAATAATGCCTTGGCATTATGACGACAGTACCAATATACCAGAGTTTGCTGCACGCAAGGACCTTTATTACTATCGATTTTTGTGTTAAAGATAAGTTTCTCATTTTCCATAAATCTAAGGTCCTTGAGAATTTCCGAAAAACTGGCTGCCAAATATCATCAGGGGAGATATTATTACCGAATAAAATCCCACAAATTCTATGTTTTTCAACCCAACTTATACCAAAAGGATGATCTGAACGTGATTTCCATTTCCCCAGCCAAATACCCTTAGTTTTCTGCTTATTTAATTTAGCCCCTGACGCCCTGCCGTACAAATCACACCAATAGAACAATTTTGAAATGGATGACTCAGTGCAGCAAATACCAGTACTGTCGTCTGCGTAAAGGGAAATTTTCGCCGACTTAGAGGAACCCGGTAATTTAACACCAATTATTTCAGGATCTTCGCGGACCTTTTTCGCAAAGGGTTCCAAAACCAAAACGTACAATAAGGGAGATAAACTACAACCTTGCCTTACGCCACGAGTGATGGGAAAGGAGTCAGAAATAAACCCATTAGCAATAACGGACGAACGGACATTTTTATATAAAAGTCTGACCCATTTAATAAAATTAGGACCAAAATTGAAAGCACGAAGCACTTTAAATAAAAAATCATAATTAACTCTATCAAAGGCTTTCTCCTGATCTAGAGAAATAAAGGCACACTTAAGGTCTTTTTGATTGATATAGTCAACGATATTACGTAATAAATGACAATTTTCAAAAATAGATCTTTGCTTTATAGCACAAGTCTGGTCAATGCCAACAATTTGATCAATAACTTTACTTAGTCTGTTGGTTATCACCTTAGATAAAATTTTATAGTCAATGTTTAGGAGAGATATTGGCCTCCAGTTTTTCATATCAGAAGAATTACATGGGTCTTTACATAATAAAGAAATATAGGACATTTTCTGGGTGTCACTGAGCTCACCCCTCTGAAAAATTTCATTATATAATGAGACGAGCTGATCTCCTAACAAATTAAAGAAAGTAAAATAAAACTCTTTAGTGAGACCATCACTACCAGGGGATTTATTATTATGCATGTGCTTAAGAGCGACTAAAATTTCCTCCTTCCCAATAGGACCTTCACATATTGACATATCAAGTTTGTTTAGTTTGGGAAGATTCTCACAAAAGGAATCAGACAACTCAAAATCGATGGCTTCCTCTGTAAAAAGGTTTGTATAAAAATCACGAAAGGCAGCTAAAATGTCACTAGAATCTGAAACAGAGGAAGAATCAGGTAGATCGATCTTCTCAATAAACTTCTTTCTACCCTTGTCACCTTCCATTTTGAAAAAATAGCGTGAAGGTTTTTCCGAAAAATCTAAAAAATTAGCTCTAGATCTAATCATAGACCCCTTAAAATTATCAGAGTGAAAATCTAATAACTGTTTCTTAATAAACTGAATCTGATCAATAAAGTCCCCAGGTGACTGCCTTTCTAACCTAGACAACCTATTGTATTTATCTTGTAAGGATTTGACAACGGATCGTTTGACTCTAGCCTTACGTTTACAATACCCAATGATAAAAAACTTAATCACCGACTTACAGTCATCCCAATTTTCCAAAGAAACAGGCTCGTCTTTGGTTAAGTCAAGCCAAAAACTTTTAAAAGCAATCTGAAAACTTCTGTCATTTAAAATACTATTGTTCAGTTTCCAATATGATGGACCAAACTTAGATTCTGAAAACAATTTGATTTTCAAACAGACAAAATCATGGTCCGAACTACCAGACGGAAAAACCTTGTTTTCTAGTAAATACTCTTTTAAAATGCAAGAAATATAAAAACGGTCTAAACGGCAAGATATACCATTACCATGCCACGTAGTGGAAACGACATTAGGGAAAAGTGATCGAAATGTTTCAAACAGCTTAAAATCATGACAAATATTTTGTAATAATTTACTACCAGGTAGACCACGTTTTGGATTACCGCCAATTTTATCGAGAGAAATACATTCAATACAATTAAAGTCACCAGCGAAAACGACTGGCCTTCTACAGGAAAAATGATGTAAAATATCCCCAAAAAACAAACACCGCTCCTCATCAACATTAGGAGCGTACACATTTATAATTCTGAACTCACTATTAAAGTATTTAAAATCAACGCACATGACCCTACCATCTCTGTCCATATGAAATTTCTGTAAGTCAACATTAATAAAAAACAATACAGCCGTACCTCTACTGTTAAAAGTACCAAAATTCCAGATTGCCTTACACTTTAAAAAACGCTCAATCCTAACACCAACAGACAGATTAGAGACGTGGGTTTCCTGTAGAAGTACTATATGAACATTATGGTTGTGAACAAAATCACTAAGTTCATACTGCTTAGTCTTGGATAAGAAACCATTACAATTCCATGTAATTATATTTAATGTGTTATTTGAATTAATCATTTCCATTTTTATTATTTTTCAGGAAAAAAAACCGGGGGAGCCGACAAAATAAAAGGAAACAAAAGAAGAACGATAGCTAAAGGTAAGTAAGCGGATGGTAACGCGCAATATTTTTGGAAAAAAAACCGTCCATGTAAACAAACGATTCCAACAATAGTTATGAAACACAGGCGGCCACTGAAGCGGAACACAGGTGAGATACAATGTTTAAAAGAGAGACACTCAGTGCACGCGCCCCGGAGCCGTGCGCGCTCACGAGCAGTCAGCTTAACAACAAATAACTTATGATTAGCGAATACTATCACCAATAGAAATTGTAAAAGAAAACGGATAGAAATAAACGATAATGTAAAACTAAAATGCGGAACATTGCAAGTATGGCGCACACAGCAAATACCAGAATATGTCTTCAGCAAAAACCAACAAGATATCATGTATAAAGCTAACAAGAATAAACAGGTACATCTTACCTGCGCAGTCAATTGTCCGGAGACACGCGTGCTAATATACAGAATAAATAAAATATGATATAGGAAATACACATTAACAGCAAACTTTATATTACAAATCAAGGTATTGTTTCTACAAAAAATTATACCATTGCTAATAAGGAGGGAATATTTGTTTATTGAAAGGGCTAAGGTAAGTAGAAGCAAAAATACTAACCTATGAGTACAAGCTAACAAGGCATGAAATCGAGAAAACACGTGAAGTTGTAAAGTAAAGAAAACATAGCACAGGTGAAAGTTTAAGTGTAGAAAAAGCTGACAATACGTAACATATTCGACCAAGGTAAATCGGTACTGTATTGTGGTATTCATACATGAAAGGGCAATAACATGCACGCTTATTACAAGCGAAAAAATTGACTTTAAACATGTTTCGTGGGTAGATCTATCGAGATAAAAATCATTATCTAGCCGAATAAAGAAATGCACAAAAATAGAACATAAAAAAGGAGAACAAAGAAAAATTATATTTACTGTAAACACCATATAGGTTAGAACATAGTCCAGGGATATGCTAGGGTCAATCAGGAATCGCATTGTCGCCGCCATTGTCGATTGGAATATTTAAGTCTGTTAATCAAAGACAAAACGAAACACTCACGAACCAGGGTGACCCTCGTCGATTACCAGTTCACCCTCGCTCTCTTCTGACTGGTTGTCCTCGAGATAATCCATTGTAGATTCTGGAAGCTTCTGTCCCGGGACTAAGTCACCATTGGACAGAACCATAGGGGAGAAAGCGGAATGCCTGCCCTTCTTTGAAGCCTTCTGGAATCCCTCCTCGTCAACTTCAGGACCTGACCTCTTGGTGGATTGGGCGTTGTTAACACTGCTCCCTCCGGGCGAGGGGCTCGCAGTATCCTCCGTTGGCCGTTGCGAAGGTTCCGTTGACACGACCTCCTCCGGTGCTGGAGGGGAATCTGCGGCAGCACTCGGCAAGGTCATCTCCGGTACAGCAGCGGTGGACTGGGAGACTTTGGCAGCATAGGATATATGTGTTGTCTGTTCAGGTCGTCCTGGACACTGCGAACGAACGTGTCCAACTTGCTGGCAGCGAAGACAGATAGGAGGACGCCCAGGAACAATAATCAAGGCCACCTTCCCGAACATTCTACTTCTGTATGGGATCAAATCCTGATCGCCTTCCCTAATAACAAGGGTAAGGACACGGGTTCCGGTCTCCAGTCTTACTTCTCCAATGGTCGTGGTTTCTCTGGAAACATGGACTACTTTTCCATAATGTCCGTCAAAATGTTCCGCAATGGCGTCATCGGATATCCAGGATGGCAGCCATTGCACACGGATGGACAAACGACGTTGGTCACACCGTTCCGGGACTAAAGAAAAGTATGTCTCTTTCATCGGACCCTTCTCTACAACACGATCAACATAAACCTCTGACCGCAAGGTAACAAACCAAGTGTTTGGAGCCTCACACCGGAAAACAGAAA